TAACGTAAGTAAATAATAATAATAATAATAATAATAATAATAATAATAATAATAATAATAATAATAATAATAATAATAATAATAATAATAATAATAATAATAATAATAATAATAATAATAATAATAATAATAATAATAATAATAATAAAAACAAAAAAACCGCTTTTGCTTCCCCAACTTCGCAAAGGGGAAAACGCCATTAGATACAGCAAATTTAACATTAAATTTAAACTCCTCGCTTCCGGCTCGCTACCGGACGTATGTCCGCGCGCAAGCGCGCTTACGGCGCAGCTGCTGGTAGCGCTAGCAGCCCCAAAAGCGGCGGAACGGTTACCAACCGCCCCAAAACCAGCAACAATATTACTATAACCAACGCTTTTAACCCTTTTTTAACGCGTACCCGCATTGCAAATTTAAAAAATTAATTAATTAAAATATTAAAGCTTTTCGTACCCCCCGGTAATATTAAATTAATGTTTAAAATTGTAAAAGAATGGATTAAAACCGTAACAAACGCGTTCGAAACGCGGTTTTGCAATTATTGCAATTATATGCCTAACCACTTTTGCATTATAAAAAACGAAATTATTGTTAAAATACGCAACGTTTGCAAATAAATTACCAATTACGCTTTGGTTTTGGCAACCGGTTTGCCGCAAAGCGGTTAAACCGGCAATTACCCGCTTACGATCCGTTTTTACGCATTTTTCAATACCGGCCCCCCTTTTCCAAAATATATTTTTGCGCGCACCAAACGCAAAATTACCATTTTAATTAAAAACGCTTTTTTTAAAATTGCAAATCGCATACCCGTTAAAATTACTATTACATTAATTAAAAAGTTCGGCAATAACGTAAAAATAATGCGCAAGCTTTTTAACGGTAACGTAATAGTTTTATTTTATATAACCGTTATTAAATATACGAAAAATACCGCGTAAATTACCAAAATATTTAATAATAAAGCAATATACCAAACCCAAATTTATAACGTTATAATTAAAAGCATTCGATAAAATGCAACCAATAATAATAATATTTTGTTATACAAATTTAAAGCGCATAATATTAAAGCCAAAATTAATTTTATCCATATATAAAACGCCCGGCAACCGAAAAAATACGCTACGGTATTGGTTAAAATTACATTTCCCGCTATAACCCAAACCGCATGCAATAACGGCTTTGTATTTAAAAGCGAAATTTTTAACGTCGAACCGTTTGCAACAAAAGCAAAAACCGCTTAATATTATAAATGCTACGGGTAAAAATATAAATCGAAATTTTGCAAAAAAACGGCCCGTTGCCCGCATTGCGCCGGGCCATTACATAGCAATGGCAAAGCCGGGAAACTTTTATGCTTGTTATACGGGGGTTAATTTGTTATAAAAAAAAGCAAACCGAAATGTTGCAATTGCGGAAGCAATTATTCGGCTTTTTAATAAAAATGCTTCGCAACGAAAAAAAAATTAAAAAGGTTAAAAATACATTTTTAAACCGGTCGAAATAATTTGCTTTAAAAACGGAAAACGAGCGCGTATTTTAACCAAATTAAATAAATTATTTTGCCGTCCATACTTTCCCGCTTTTTGCATTTATCCATTCCTTACCCGGCCCTTTCCAACCGTTACAAAAAAAAACAATTTGCTTAATTTAAAATTGCTAACAAAACGCAAACGAAACGGTTTTTTATTAAAAATAACGAAAGCAAAAGAAAATTTCCTAACCAAGAAACGAATAAGCAAATTACAAAAATCCCGCAATAAAAAAACGTTAAGCTTTTTTAAATCCGTTTTTAAAATAAACCAATATTTTATAAACCCAAATTTCGCCCTTTTCGGCTTTAATAAAATAACGGAAATAAAGGGAATAAACGAATGCCGGGCCGTTAATAACCCAACGGTACTTAATAATACCGCGGTTACCAATTCCAATTTTGCTAATGCGCTAAACCATAAAGCCTTTTTTTTTTCCTTAATTTACCCTTACCCTAACCGCTTGCATTCCAGCCAACCCAATTTGGCCTTATACCAGCACCGTTTAGCTTTTTTGCAACCGGAATTACGTTTACTTTTAACCAACCAATTAACAATAATAACAATGTATAAAATTAAATATATTATATTAAAACATAGGAAAAAGCAAAAGGAAAAATAATTTTTTTTTTTACAGCAATAAATAATATAACATTTTAACCATTTAAAAATTAAAGCGTAACCAATACGGGAACCTTTCGAAACCGTACGGTTGCAATTACAAGCTTATTTACCATTAAAAATTTAATTTTAACGCAATACTTTACGTGCATAACGGTTTTGCTTTTAAATTATAAACCGCCCGGTGCGGCCATAATTAAATTTTAATTACAATTATTACGCCGAAAGGCTTATTAAAAATATATTTAATATATTTTCCAAATTTTAAAGCAAGCTTTAATTAAACAACGCCTTTTATTACAATCGCTATTTACCCAACCTAAAAGCATACAATTTTTACAAGCAATTTTAACTTTTATTACCCAATTTAAAATTTATACAATAAATACAACGCAAAAAGCAAAACCTTTTTAAAATTAGCACGCCGCAAACGATTTGGATTAGCAACGTTTTACAAAAAAGTTACGAAAAAAAACGAAAAAAAAAATAATACAATTAATTACGTTTAAATAACGCAACAATTCGAAATGGAATATTTAAAATAAAATAATACGATAAAAAAGTTTAACCATTTATTTTAAATATTTTGCGTTTTTTTCGAACCGTAGCAATTTTAATTTTAATAAATTAAAGGCTGGAAATGGAAAAACGTTAAATTAATATATAAATTTATTTACCCCTTTCGAGCTGTATAGCCCATGGGGAGCACTACGGATCGGGGTAGCTATTTAAAGGTAAAAACCGTGCTTCCAGCCGACAGCTGTTTGGTGTAAAGCCGGGTAAAAACTCCTTCCCTTCGAGGTATCTTTTACTCCGCGTCGTCTTCGTAAGTAGTTGTTTGTAAGGTGTTTTCCGCACCTCCAAACGTTAAATTAATAAAAAAATTGGCGAAAACTAAAGCCAAAATGGCTAGCAAATTAATAATAACCGGGAATATGCATAACGTTAAAGTTATAAATAAAGAAACCAATAAATTAATGCAATAGTTAACCCAATTTGCTAACCAGTTAACCCTTTAACGGAAACCAAACCCTTTTAATAAATGCGCCCTTTATTAAATACAAAAATTCGACGATTTTCGTAAAAAAGCGAGCCGCTTGCAACGCGCTTTTATTAAAAACAAAATGCAAGCAATATAAAAAGCGTACAAAGCCGCGAACAAAACATTTGTTAAAAAAAACGCTAAACGATATCCAACCATTAAAAAAGCGTTGTTTTTGCAGCGGAATAAAATATTAAAAAAAACGGCGCATTTTGGAAATTTAAAAAATGGGCCCGTTTAAAAAGCTTTTTAAAAAAAACCCAAATTAATTACCGAATTTAATTAAAACCGGAAAAAACCTAAATACGCTTTGTAATTATTAAAAAAAAACCGAAATTTTATTATTTAAATTTTTTCCAAACTTATTAATTAATATTTTTAACATTAGCAAAACCAAATTCCCGAATTACTTTTTTCCAAACCCTTTTTAAATGCCCGTTTTCGTTACCCCGCAAAATATTATGGAAGCAACGGGCTGCATTAAACCGTAAAAAGCTACGGGCCAAAACCATTTCCCGAACGGGCTATTTAAAGCCGCCGGATTGCCGGGCGCAACCGTTATCGCGAAATTTGCTAACGCAATAATTGCTATAAATTATTTTCCAAAGCGTTTTAAAAAGGCCCTTACGGTAATATTACCCAAGCCAAGCAAAATTACCGAAAAAAGGAAATAAATTGGGGGATAAAAGCTTATCGTTTTATTATTATTAATTTTAAAAGTTATCGAATTAATTATAACGAAACAAATTGCTAACAAAACGGAAAAAAAAAGCATTTTTTTTAACGGCTAAATAAGCAACTAACGGGTTAAAAATACGAAATTAGCAATTTAAAAAGTAATGGAAACGGTAATTGTAACATGGAATTATAGCGTTACCGCGTTGTTATTACAATTTAATTTATTTGGAGCATTCGATACCGTTAATTACTTTTAATTGTTAAATACGCTAAAAAAATACGGTTTTCCCTTACTAATTGTAAAATGGGTAAAAGGGTAGCTAGCAAATAAAATGGCCATTTTGCAATTTAACGGCAACATTTCGAACCCAATTCCAATTTAAGCCGAAATCCTTTAAAACTCCTTTTTATTTTTTATACTTTTTATTATATACATTGCATTATTATATAAAAACTTTAAAAGCATTTTAAGGATTTTCGTTACCGGCTTTGCTAATAATACCAACCTATTAACAATAAAAAATACCGCAAAAAATACGGCCCGTTTTTTAAAAATAGCTTGGTTAAAATGCAAAGCATGGGTAACCAAATACGGCATAAAATTTAATAGTACCAAAACCGAATTAATTTATTTTAACAAGGATAAGGATTTACCCGTAATTTAATTTGGCAATATAACGGTAGCTTTTAGCCAAACGGTTAGGTTTTTCGGGGTTTGGCTAAACGTTTGCTTTAATTTTAAAAAATACATAAAAAAAGCAAAAAGCAAATAAAAAAGGCAATAACTAGCATTTATTTAATTTATTTTATTAACGTAAGGCAATACGTTTGCAAAAAAAAGGCTTTTTTATAACGTAATGTACCGCACGGCCTTGGCATACGGCGCAACAACCTTCCATATAACCATACCGGCAACGGGCCGCCCCAAAAACGCCGTTAAATAATTTTAAAAAAAATAGCGCGCGTATTTAAAAACTATTGCCGAAGCTTACAAAATTACTTTATTAGCCAATTTCGAAACTAAATGCTTTACCCCCCCAATTAATTTGTACCTAAACGAAAGGGTATTAAAAGCAAAAAAAAAATGGGAAAAATTTGGAATAAAAAACGTAATTCGAACCGGCATTAACAAGGTGCAATAGTATTTTCGATAGCTAAAATATCGTAAAAAAACAAAGGTACCATACCCATTTAACTTGGCAAGCAAAAACCGGTAAGCGCAAAAATGGAACCTATTAAAACCCTTTAAACCCAAGCCCGGCCCCGCCCCAGCAATTATTTAAAAAGCGATTAAAACGAAAGTTAATGCTAAAGCATAAAAATTAACGAACTAAAAGCAAAATTATAAATTTATTTACCCCTTTCGAACTGTATAGCCCATAAGGAGCACTACGGATCGGGGTAGCTATTTAAAAGTAAAAACCGTGCTTCCAACCAACAGCTATTTGGTATAAAGCCGGGTAAAAACTCTTTCCTTTCGAAATATTTTCTATTTCGCGTCGTTTTTGTAAATAATTATTTATAAAGTATTTTTCGCACTTCCAAACGTTCGGTAAAAAAAAAAATTGTTATTATTTAAAGCAAAATATCGTGGTCCGGTCGAAAATCGGTTCGTTCGTCGCATTTAGGTCGCGTTATTAAGTGCACGTTTCCGTACCAATTTAAAGCCTTCCCGTTGCTCTTTCCTTTTTTATTAACTTTAATAAATAAATTAATATATCGCGGCCTTTTTCGCCTTTTTTTTTCCCAATCCCTTACGCAATTCCACCAAAAAATATTACCAGCAATTGCAAAATAGCAATAGCAATAACCGTTGTAAGTCCTCCCTTTTTAACTTTCGTTACTTCGTAACCCATTTAACGTTTAATCGTAAAACCGCACATTTTTAACGCTTTGCTAATACTTCGTTTCGGCTTCCCGCGGTTCGCAATTGCATTATAACGCCCAAAAAAAAGGATGGTACGAAAAGGTTTGCTTTATTTCCTTTTAAAGTAACGGGCGATTCCAAAAAGCGCAAAGCCCGTTATTTGTATATGGTTTTTTTTATATTTTTGCAATTTCCCGCTAATTTATCCCAATGTTTTTAACGATTTAACCAATTGCATTACGTGCATGCGCATAATGGCCCGCAAAATTAATTTTAATAAAATTTATATGCAAAATTTTAATAAATCCTTTTTGTCGTTTTTTTTAATTTTATTTTTCCAAATATTTTATTAATAAATTGCTTCGGTTTAAATTTTAAATTAAAAAAATGTATATATTATTGTTCGAAAAAAAAGGCTAGCAAAAACGGATAATGCACTTTTGCGTTAAAAAAAAACGTTTCGGAATCGGGCCAACGTATGCTTAACGCCGCGGAAAAGTTTAAATCCGTAAGTTTTGCTTTTATTGCTAACAATAACTTTACGAACCGTAAAAAGCATTACGTTTAAACGTTTAATTTTACGAACAAAGTAAAAGCTATAAGTTTTTTTTTTGCTTTATTATATCCTTTACGTTCCCGGTACGTTATTAATACTTTAAATAAAATTAAAAGGCTTGGCTACCCCAATACGAGCGCCGCGCTTACGCCGAATTTAAAACCGCTTGCAAAGCGTATTTTTTGAACGATACCCTGGCCCCGGTAAAATTTCCCCGTTATTTCGCGGGAAACCCCGAAATCGAAGCTTACCGTAACATTATTATTACCAACATTTCCATTAAAATATTTTTTATATTCGATATCGCTTTTAATTATTTTTAAGCTAAACGTAACGGGCTTAACAATTTTACGTTAATAAATTGCGTTAAAATTTATACGCGAAACGTTTAATTTCGTTAAAATGTTTACGCTTAATTTTATAATAACGTTACCGAATTTTTCGATCGCTATAACGAATATTTCGAAAAGGTTACCCCCGCCGATTTTTTGTAAATTAATAATAGCAACGGTAACGGTAAAAATAATAAAATGGCGAATGGTTTTTTTTCGGTAATTGGTAATTCCGCGGCTAAGTTTAAAAAAAAAACGATACGGTTAATTTTTAACTTATTAATAAATTTGGTTAGGGTAAGGTTGCGGGTCCAGCCGGGGTCGTTACGGCGGTAACGAAAGCGGTAAAGGGGGTATTGGCGGCGCCCGGGGTAGCAATTAAAAAGGCAACCGTTGCTGCATTCCTTCCCTTTTTTTAAACGTTTTTCCGTAACTTTAACGAATTCGATTTCGGTTTTAAAAATAAAAGCAATAACATAGCCGTTTAAGCGTTATATACCCAGCGGTTCGGATTTTTTATATTTAAAATTTTAAAAATAATTTGCGGCAACCCGCTTTTACGGGCGTAAATAAATTCCCGTTTTTTAGCGTTAAAATAAAAGGTTACGTTATTTTATTTATTAATATATGGTATTGTTAATAATTAATAAAATCGTTAAAAGGTTTTTTCGATAAGGTTTAATATAAATTTGGCTTTTTAAAGCCGGAGCGGTTAAGCTTTTTATTTCCTTT